AGTGTCTAGAGAGATTACAGTCGACCCTCAGCTCAATGGAGCAAGAGTTGGCAAAGAGGAAGAAGCAGATTGAGGCTTCGAAGCAGGAGAAGCTTGAGATTGCCGCGAGGGAAACCGAGGTTCAAGAATTACTGAAACAGGCTGGAGCACGCTTCGCTGCTTTGAAGGCAGACACAAATGGCGCTGTGGCTGATCCTCAATATTTGGCAGGCCCTAGTGCCACCTTTGATTCTCCTTTGATAGTTGATAGAGGGTTGGAAAGTTTTGGAAATACGCCTACAGTGAGGCCAGCAGTGAGAGATATAGGTTAGAGACAAGCAGCTGGTAATGTCAGAAAATGATTTCTGAAAGTTCACAAAAGTGCCAAATATATTTCATGACTTAAAAACTTGTTTTAAATGTAAGCTTCTGGGGGCTTTGTGACAACAGTATAATCAGAGTAAAGTTGTGAAAAACTTTCACAACTCCAATATTTTATGTCACCAGGTACCCTTTGCAGTCCTTACCTTGCCCAATCAGTCGCTTTTCCTTGAAATTGATTGGAACAATACTTCGTGTAGGGTAATGGATTCCTCTCCCAGCTACAGTAGTTGTAACAAAGCACCTCACTCAGGTAATCCTCCACTGAATGTGCAATGAGTTCCAATACAGGTGGATAAACATTTCGAATATTAGATCGTAAAATTTCATACAGCTACGGACTACGATATCTAGTATCAAGACTGTTCCGTTTCCTCGCCTGCGACCGTCTCTCAACATTCCTTCTCCCAGGTTTGTTACTACCTGCACGAGGAGTAGCTATGCGAAGATTAGCATCCAAGCAAGCATGCTCCAGAAAGGATACAACACTTACTTTCACCAACTGGCTTTGGCTGCGTCACAAGAAGTACATACTGGCCGTCCAGCTGTGAGACTTGTGGTAGTACCACTTTGTCCTGCGGCAATTCTCTCACGTACTGTGAATCTTGATTGAAGGGTAAGAATGTCCCGCTAGTCGCATTCAAAGGTCTTCTGGCCACCATCAACATAGTCGAAGGCGATGAACCGTCTGGCTTCATTGCTGCCAGCATCATTCTGTTGACTGTATGAACCGGTCAGCGGATCTCAATTGAATATGAAACAACGAAAAGGAGACATACAAGGGACAAGCATCTCAGCATCAATCTTCTCCATCGGTTTGCTCGTATTCACAATCCACATGAACGAATTCAAAGACGCCGTATTCGGGGGAAGTGTCCCTGGGTTGACACCCTCCCTAATCTCAACGTTCATCTTCAGATCCACTTTCGTCTGCACTGTAAAACGCATCCCATCAATAAACTCCGCGCTTTGCTTTCCAACTCCAGCCGTCATATTAACCGTTCGCATGGCTCCTTGCCCATATTGTACGAATACATTACTCGTATCGACTGATTTGCGGGCCACGAGTATGTATTCCCCTTCTAAGGATGTCATCTTCACGATCCGAGTATTATTCTCGCTGCGATGGACATTCCGCATTGAATCGTCTACGGTCCAGCTCTTCCTGTCAGCAGCCATAGTCGCGACATATGTATTGGCTTCCAAAAGGTCCTGCTGATGTAGTGTTACTGGATTGTATGGAACTTCAATCTTTGCAATCAGATCATTGGCTGTCTCGTTCATCTTGATAATGTATGAATAGTTCGATACGGCCACAAAAGGTCCACCTGTTGCTCCGGTCATATATAAAGCCGCCAAAGGAGCTTTGTTTTGCGTGACGACCAGTGTTCTCGGCTTAGGAGATAAGACATCAAGGGCTAGACCGTCCTGGAAATCTTGATCTGTTCGTTGCATCTGCATTCGTCAGTTATTTGCCATCATAGAATTGGGAGCCCTCGAGACTTACACCTCCCAACACCTGAATTGTATCTCCAAATCCTGGCAGGGGTTTGTTCTCTGCCCGCACTCCATTACGAAAACATAGAAGATATAAAAGAACGGTGAGAGCACCAGGCAATCTCGTAGAAAAAGCCATACCTGTGGCTATCAAAACAAAACGATCGACAACAACAGTACTAGCGATAAAAAGCAACAGGAAGAGGAAAGATCGGCTCAACGGACAGAGGACACAACAAACGTGCCAGCAAGGTTCGACGAACTCGTCCCAAGAGAGGGCCAAGAAATCTATATACAGTCTTGAATGATGTGGAAACAGAGCCCAAGGCTTTAGATTAAGTTTAAACATGGCGTGTCACACATTAAACTCTCCCGACCGCTTCTGCCTCTGCTCTTTGTGGGTGATCACCGTGGATGCAAGAATGATCCCTGGTCATCTGGAGATCTGGGTCTTGTTTCCCCGAGCACAATTGGTTGAGATTGTTTGAGAAACACTGACGAAACACCTCAGAAGTGCTACTGAGAAGCACAGGCTAAAGTTCCCGGACCTGCACTTGGTGGTATTTGAATGAACTTTGAAAGAGTTGATACCCTAAGCTGATGACATCCCATAGACTCCATAAGAAGATGCGCTCTATTAGTTTAGTGGCTTGCAAGACAGATTTCATGAGCCTGTCCAAAAAACCACGCGGCTTTGAAACAAACTTGTCTACCAGGTTCAGAGCACTGGCCCGAAAGCAGATGGGTGAGACAGTTGTGTTGAAAGCGATCAGACTTGCTCCTTCATCACGAACTGCTCAAAATCGAAAGCTAGGTTCGGACTTGCCAATATTGAGGCTGTCTCGTGGACGATGCACGTATCAGAAGTGCTACTAGGCTTCAGTTTTAATTGCAGTGATGACTTCCGCTGACAGGTCGAGCTCAAGATGTTCCCGGACCTTGGTGCACATCCCAAATCCCAACTCATTTGCACCAAGACACTAGAAATCCAGAAGAATGGCAAAGACTTACAAGCTACATCAGGGATGGTCTTGATATATGACAACTTTGATGTTTGTTTACCTATGTGCAGAAGAAGCGATGTCGGCTAAGGAGCATCACTCACCCCCGTATTCGTCGGCGGTCAGTGAGTCACGTCACCGGCGGCAGAAACAAACAAAATTGGCGATGGCACCTTGCAATTGACAGGTACCTTACCTGCCTAGGTTGCATTCACAACCGCAACTTGACACCAATTGACAAAGTCGCAATCATGTCAGGAACCACACTACATCTTCGTTCAGAGTGTAAGGCTTCAACGTCCTGGAATCATGTTGCGACAGCTACTAATGCGTTCGGCAGTGGGCAAAGCCCTCGAGCACCGGTCCGCTCTCACACCGACTACAGCAAAGGCTCTCATTGAAGCTGGCTACACCGTCAATGTTGAGCGCAGTCCAGAGCGTATTTTCGAGGACAGCGAATTCGAGGAGGTCGGAGCTACATTGGTACCAGAGAATACATGGCGCGAGGCACCTACCGACCACATCATCATTGGTTTGAAGGAGCTTCCCGTTGAAGAATGTATGCCAACCATCCTCTCAATTCCCTCATTGCATAGCCTGACACTGCTTTAGTCCCTCTCAAGCACGTCCACGTTCAATTCGCACACTGCTACAAGCAACAAGGCGGCTGGGAGAAGGTCCTCTCTCGATTCCCCCGTGGCGGCGGCACACTCCTCGATCTAGAATTCCTCACCGACGACAAGAATCGCAGAGTCGCTGCCTTTGGGTACCATGCTGGTTTTGCCGGCGCAGCTCTCGCCCTCGAGACATGGGCATGGCAACTCACACACCCGGCCTCCGAGCCGTTCCCCAGCGTCTCGAGCTACCCCAATGAAGACGCCTTGCTCGTAGACGTCAAGAAGGCGATAGCAGCTGGAAAGGAAAAGACCGGCAAAGATCCTCGCGTACTGGTCATTGGTGCTCTCGGAAGATGTGGTAGCGGCGCTGTAGACCTCTGCTTAAGAGCTGGCGTGCCAACGGAGAATGTGTTGAAGTGGGATATGGCCGAGACGGCTAAGGGTGGACCGTTCCCTGAGATTGTGGAAAGCGATATCTTCGTCAATTGCATATACCTCATGTCTAAGATCCCCAACTTCGTTGACACGAAGAGCCTTGACACCCGCAACCGCAAGCTCTCTGTTATCTGCGACGTCAGTGCCGACACTACCAACCCTCACAACCCTATCCCGGTCTATACTGTCGCCACAACATTCAACGAGCCAACCGTACCTGTTGAGGTGAAGGGCGAACCAAGATTGTCGGTTATCAGCATCGACCATTTGCCTAGTCTGCTTCCCAGAGAGGCGAGTGAGGCTTTCAGCAAGGATTTACTGCCAAGTTTGTTACACTTGAAGGAATGGAGAACACATCCCGTTTGGTCTAAGGCCGAGAAGCTCTTCCAAGAAAAGGTGGCTACTTTGCCCGAGGCATAATCGTAGCCGGATAGAAGGTATATTCAGATTAGACAATTGTTATATATGACAATAAATACTGGTGCCCAAGCAATCAAAAAAGCCCAGGCGTGCCTATCTTGTTTTCGAAACCTCCATTTCTACAACCGAAGGTCGGAAAGGTCCTATGGCAACTGACCGATAATCAAGAAACTGGCTATATACAGACAATTTCAACTGAATAGTCACTGCGGAATCGCTTAGCATACAAAATGAGGTGTTCTACGACGACAAAGCAAGCAGCCATAAGCACGATTTGGCCCTCTGAAGCTAGTGAAGCGAGAATCAACAGTCGCTCTGATCTCCACTCTTCCCACTCGCTTGGTAAATTCAAACCCACAAAGCTGTCACAAGCAAATCTAGGTAGTCAACTGAAACATACCTAACGTATATCTTCAATATTTCACTAGTCAGTTGAAACATGAAAAAAAGGTCAAAAAATCACAATCTCTATTGGCGAAACTAAATAATGAGAAGCTTTATTCAAAAGCTTACATTGATATATGTTAAGGCTGTCATGAAACAATGTATATATATACATACATACCTGTTTACTCCCGAAATAACTTTTGAGACAGGTAAGAAGAATAAAGATAGTTATTTGAAAAAATATCTCAAAGTAGACAAAAAAAAACTGTCCGCCAAGTTACCCTGGAGACACTGGGGATCGAACCCAGGATTTCGTCAAGCTGAGACCTTTGACCCAGCCCGTAGAGGTAGGTTAGAGTTGCAAATGACGCACGATACCACTTCGTCATATCCCCTTTTGGGTAACTTGATGACCAATGTGGCGCTATTTGAAGATATCAACTGACATTGTTCTCGGCATCTATTCAAGATGCGACGGACATGACGCTTGTAAGGATTTAAGAGGGAGAATATACAGGTCCACTATGAAGTGCAACCAACACCATTCTACATGGGAAACTGCGTATGCACATTCTCACTACGCTATGGAGGCTCGGCGTAGTGACAATTACTCAAGGTAACCTGAGTACGCTCGGAGCTCTGACTTGCTTTGATTTGAGTTGAGCTGAGTACTTACCGAGTTAGTTTCTCACTCCGAACAGACTCAGCGTATATCAAGTAGTCAAAATTAGCATGAAGTAATTATGAACCAGATAGTAAGGTTTACAAGAAATACCTCTACTTAGGTACCAAAAAGAATTAAGCTCGGAATAGGTTTCTAATTTTTGGTCTAGTCTAGAGCTGCGCAGAGTAGGATTGAGTTGAGTTGACTCCGTGGGGTTGAACTGAGTACTACCATAGACTCAACTCAACTCAATCGCTCCGCTATCGAGGCCATGTACTGACTCGATAATATTATGAGAATACTTCAAATCTACCTAAGTTATACATTAGAAAGTCTTATTAATCGATAAGTACATCTCTTTCATACTTTAGACATACTCCGCTTTTGGCAGTGTTGATATTGAGAGTTGTTCAAACGTCAACCCATTCACTGGCATAAATAAAGTAAATTTGCATATAATTAAGGTCAATAAGTTAGAAGGCACGTTTGACTTATATTTGTCGCCTCGGATGAGACGACCACATAGATGTTCGCTCGCTAACATACTTACATTCGTACATTCAAGTATATACGTTTTCTAAGCGTCCATGAAAACAACATTTATCGGAAAACGCTTGATAGGAATTTTTTGGACTGGGAGAATGTGAGTTCATTATAGGGTCATGTCATGACTGTATTGCCGAATGACACACAAGCTATACTGCCGAATCGTGAAGTATTCTTTGAAGCAACTAGCTAGCTATTCGCCCGAGTCAAAAGCCAGATGCCACTCCACAAGACATATTTGCAGACATAGAAATATCATATCCACCATATGACATCTAACACATCGAATGATGAAAATCCGGGTATAACGCCTTACCTCACCTTCCCTTCCCCATCCGTCCCTCGACCTTACTTCAGCTTCTCAGCAAGCCACTTCTCCGCAACGGCGACACCCTCCTTGATCTTGTCTGGATTAGTACCCTGACCAGTCCTCGTGGGTTCCTTGCCTCCCGATCTCCCACCAACGACTTCCGAGACCGAAGCGGCCCATTGTTCTGCAGTAACGCCTTTCGGAGCATGATCCTGAGAAGACATTAGCTAAGTAACCAATCGATTACGAAAGAAGGGTAAAACTTACAGTGCCAACATAGACACCATGAACGATCTCCGTCTCGCTTCCAGCAAAGAGATAAACAGACTTATCCTTAGCCTTCGACTTAAAGTGATTCATAACTTCCGCAATAGCCTTCGCATTAGCAGAAATGGGCAGTTGACCAATGTAAACACTGCTATCCTTGTTCTCAGCAAAGTGGCCCGTAACAGTATCAAGCGCAGTCTTCGCCTCGGCTTTCTGCTTCTTCTTCTGCTCATCCAAAAGCCCCTTCTGGATCTTCGCAAATCGTGTCTTGAGTTCCTCTTTTGTCAGGGACGAAATGCTGAGCTGACTCAAATCATTCTGTACGGATTTGACCTCGGCTTCTTTCTCCGAGCCATGGGGCATGTTCTCAAGAGTCTCAATGCGCTTGTTGAAGTCGATGGCAAGTCTTTGGACCTCATGCGCAGCGTCACCGGTATAGGCGATAATGCGACGGATTCCCTTTGCAATACCGCTCTCTTCTACAATTACAAGGTCTTTGATGAGACCTGTTTTCTCGACGTGAGTTCCACCGCAAAATTCTACACTGACTTCTCTCCACTTTGGATTTGTTGGGTTCTCCAACAGTTCATCGACAGGCACACCAACAGAAACGACACGAACTGGGTTGGGGTATGTCTCTCCGAATACAGCACGGACACCTTCAATACCCTTAGCAAGGTCAAGATCAACCTCTTTCGAGTAGATCTCGCAATTCTGCTTGATGTACGCATTCGAGGAATCCTCAATCTTTTTGATCTCGGGAAGAGTGACTTGAGCCTTGTGGGAGAAATCAAATCTCAGCTTATCTTGATCGACGAGAGATCCCTTCTGGTTGATGTCTTCGCCTAGGTGCTCCCTTAGAGCATGGTTGAGAATATGTGTTCCAGTGTGGTTATTGCGGATTGGTTGTCTACGGAGTTCATCGTATTCGCAAATGATCTCATCTCCAGCCTGTAGTTGACCATACTCCAGATAGCCATTGTGGACAATGTATCCTCCATAAGCCTGGACATCCAATACCTTGAACTCAGCAACGCCGTCGATAATGATCTTGCCCGTATCAGCAACTTGACCACCCTGCTCAGCGTAGAAGTTGGTCTTATCCAGTAGAATACCGAAAGGCTTGTCAGATGGCAGGCCGTCGGTCGACTTTAAGAAGCTCTTTCCATCATAGACGAGCGAGACCTTCGCAGTACTATCGCCTTTCGAGAATTTGGCATCATCATTTGGTCTCGGTACACCCATCTTGTCTAGTTCAGCGATTTGATGTACGTCGAACTTGGCAAATGTGTGAGATGCCTCTTTGACAGACATACTGGCCAAACGAGCAGTCTCCTTTGCGATCTCAATCTCCGCATCATCGGTCTCTAGACCTCTCTCCTCAGCCATAATCTTGGTCAAATCCTCTGGGAATCCAAAGGTATCGTATAACCGCCAGACATCCGCACCCGAGAGCTTCTTTGCGCCATTCTTGACAGCCAGAGCAGCATATTTCTCAAACTGCTTTTCTCCTCGATCAAGTGTCCTAGCGAAGGCCACTTCCTCTTCGTCTAGAATATCCTTGACATCCTGCTGCTTCTCCACGATCTCCGGGAATTGACCACCCATCTGTTCAATGAGAGCAGGGAGGATCTTCGAGAAGAAGCTTCCAATCTCTGCATCGAAATATTTGCGGGCGTAACGAGAACCACGACGTAGAACTCGTCGAACGACATAACCTCTACCGATATTGTTTGGCACACCACCATCTGAAATAGCGAATGTTAAGAGACGGATGTGATCGGCGATAACACGATACGCGGTATCGATGCCATCAATATCATCCTTGCCGTATTTATCGGTATAATCTCGTGCGCCTGTGACTTCTTTGATCTTGAGGAATAGTGGATGGAAAACATCGGTGTCGTAATTGGAGGCCTTGTCTTGCAATACCGATACCAATCGTTCGTAACCCATACCAGTATCGACATGCTTCGCAGGCAATGTCTTGAGAGACCTATCCTTCTGTCTATCGTACTGAATGAAGACGTTATTCCAGATCTCAAGAACATTAGGATCATCCATATTGACTAGATGGGCAGCATTTCGACCACCGCCTATTCTGTCATAGTGAACCTCGCTACAGGGTCCACAAGGTCCAGTCTCACCCATCTCCCAGAAATTGTCCTTCATATTTCCAGGTAAGATGTGATCTTCAGCAACGCCAACCTTCTTCCACAGATCCTTGGCCTCTAGATCTGGCTCTAGTCCGGCAGAGGCATCACCTTCAAAGTATGTGACGTAGAGGCGATCCGGGTCTAAGCCATAGACCTTCGTAAGAAGCTCCCAAGACATCTCGATAGCGCCTTGCTTGAAGTAATCGCCAAAAGACCAGTTTCCAAGCATTTCGAAGAAAGTCTGAGTCACATTAGCCAGACACACAAAATTCGCAACTATGCCACTCACATGGTGGTAGCTGTCTTTTCCGACATCGTCCAAGTCCTGTAAAGTACCCAGATCAGCCATAGCCTCCCAATGGTATAGGATGTCCTCACGTTATGCTTTCCTCCAGCACGAATACACTGCAAATGGTCAGCATGCCCCTCTACTTACACAATGACCATATTGTATCACCTTCTGCGTATCCACAGCTCTCTTCAATTGAGCCATATCGTCCGTCTGGCCTATCGTTCCCAGGAAGATGGGCTTGAACTGGTTCATACCCGCATTGGTAAAGAGGAGCGTAGGATCATTGTGTGGTACAACAGAGGACGAAGGAACTGGAGACACCGCACATTAGCTATATAATCTTAGAGCTCCTAATTGAAGGAACAAGAGATGTGTATAACGTCCTCGAGACGCAATTGAGCCGCCCTTGTCAGCGTTGTAAAGACGCTCCCAAACATATCCCCTCAATACCCAAAAATACTACCCCGCTACATACCAATCGTGTGTCCCTTGCTCTTGAAAAACTCCAAGAAGGTCGTCCTAACCACTTGCGCGGTCCATTTCTCCTGCGCCATCCTTGTGATTGTCTTCGAGAAGTTTCTAGAACCGAGTGTTGCGTTACAAGTTGGCAAAGCGTTGGTTGGGCGCGTGCTGCGAAAAAGGGTATTTATTCGCGTTCTAGTCTGTTGCAGCTGCAGGCGTCGCTTGATTTTGGTGGTAGAAATCCGTCGAAGTCCGAGGTGACTCAGTTGGATCCTCAAACCATTTCGCAACTCGTTCATCCGCGCCCTCCTTCCCTGATATGGCCCGATCACAACAGGTGTCCTACGCGAAAATACGAAGTCTTGTCTCTTGCTGCAAAGGTCTGCGATTGTGTTACTGTTTGATTGGAGGGAGTGAATCGGTTGTACGGTATTGAAAGTGGTCTGGGAGCTGGAGAGGAAGGATGGACGTAATGGATCGCGTACAAGCGACCAGCAACATTAGGAAGAGGAAGGCCGAAAGTCAGGACAACGAGCGGTTGAATAAACGACTGAGCTTATTAAATCTAGGTTTGAATTCTTCTTTCAATTCCCATGTACAATACATAGCTAATGTCAACAGAGCGCAATGGTGAGAAGCTCTACGTGCCAGTGGAACATCCTACGCCCAACACCAACTTCACGAAGCCCAAATCCCCC